TACTGTGCTGTCGAGGCGCCCAGGAGCAAACAGGCTGGAATTTCACCAAGCACAGCATACCAATATATTCACGGGGTGATTCAACTGTGCATAGACTGTAGTACATGAAACAAGAACAGTCTAGGCTAGGATTCTGACTCCCAGTTCTTTACCACCCGACACTACTGCTGGGTGTTCGCCATGCCGGCCAACCATAGTCAGGATGCATGCTCTGACTCTTACTGTCTCGTCCTGTTCTCTACGTCTCTAGTCCTTTCCCCTTGGTGTAGGCGAGTGGCTAGTTATTTCTCCTCGGTGTAGGCGAGAGGTACTCATTGTTGCTCGCCTTTGTGTCTCTTGTACCTTCTATGGCTCATTGATGTACTGATCCTCAACATTCGAATATTCAAACGTGTGTGTTGTCATGGTTTCTCTCCCCCGTCGCAGTGCCTGTCGTTTTTCCGTCGCCTGTGTCGTCGTGGCAACGCTGGTGATATGAACACGACGGTGTCGTTTGATCTTGGCGAGGACACTACGCTTGACAACATTGGTATGTTCTTGTCACTCTGGTGTATAATAGTCATTGGACAGGGGCATAGCTGGTATCTCTTTGGGGGGGGGGGGGGGGCGTACGCAGTGTGGAGTAGGTCTTGTCATGGCTTTCTTGGAACATCTATTGTGCTTGTGGCACTTGGATGATGCTGTGACGTATTTGTTTTTGTGTTGTTTGCGTCCTTGTTGCCACCATTGTTCAGAGCGTGCTCGTGCGGCCCAGAGTCGCTCGGATATGGACGCCGACCTTGGCGGTGCGGATATTTCCACCACCACGACGTCGTTTGCCGGTCGCAGCACGACTATTGACGGCCTGGGTGAGATCTCGGCGGAGCTCAACGCCATTCCACCACCGGAGGAGGATGACTTCCTCATGCCACCACAACAGGATGAGTTCATGCCGCCCGTAGACCAACCAGACGAGTTTATTCCTCCAGTTGAAGAAGAAGCAGCGGAAGAAGGTGTCGAGGTCACGGCCAGTGGTCGCCCTGTCCATGTAAGTGTGTGGTGCTGCTGGTGGTGGTGAGGGTGAGGGCGACTCTGTCTCACTCTGTCCATGTGAGTGTGCTGCTGGTGGTGAGGCGACTCTGTCTCACCCTGTCCGTGTAGGTGTGTGCTGCTGATGGATGTTCACCTGTTCAACTGTTCGATCCGTCAAATCTTCTGCAGCTGAACAGCCGCACTCGACTCCTTTCTCTCCCGATTAGCATTTCGCGTGTCCTCTAACGACAGCGTGCATTAAAACTTGATTGTATGTGTGTGTGTGTGTGTGTGTGTCTGCGTGTGTACAGTGGACGGCAACGACGGCCAATGTTCTGAAAACCATCCGCCGTGAGTCCAGCAAGAGCAAGCAAGAGAAGGTTTCGTTTGACAAAATCGTCTCCTCGACAAAGACCGGACGCAAGGTGAGTTTCGGCTCCGGTCGTTCGTGTTTGCATTGGTGTCCGCTGCGTGACCTCAACTGCAGTGAAACCTATCTAAGGCGACCGCTCGAGGGACCTTCAAAACGTGGTCTCTATGACCAGGTAGTCTCCTTAGGGGTCGTCCACAATTATCGAACTTTTTTCACAAAACGAAATATTTTCGTGATGGGGTGGGAGGGGGTTGACCAATTTCGTTTCAGGAAACTTCGATACATGTACATGGCCACAGGAGCAGTGGCACACTTGCGACTTTTGTTGTATATGCATGTATACGTCAACAATTTTTTTACGTTCTGAGGGGGAGGGAGGGAGGGGTTGGGTCCAAACTAAAACAATTCGTTTGGTGAACAAAGTTCGATATTTACGGACGGCCCCTTATCCAGGGTCATTTGACTGGAAATGGTATCCCTTGGTCCTAGTTGCAGTCATCTTTTAGGACAGGTGGCCGGCTTATCCGAGTGGTCACGTTGACAGATGGCCGGCTTATCCGAGTGGTCACGTTGACAGGTGTCACTGTGCTTACTCTCCCGAAGAGTGATACCAAGGGTGCATGATTCACGTTGGAGGTGTCGAGTATTTCCCAGTCTCGCCGGCTGCAACATCTCTCTCATTTGCCATTTTTTCATTGTGCAACCGGACACACCACGTTTGATGGATTTGTTAGTGATTCTATTGCGGCACCCCGTCGCTAGTCCACAATCATTTCACTCCTCTTTTGCAGAATATCGTTCTAAGTGTCGCACACATAATTAATAAGAAAGCAGAGTTGAAATGCGACTATGAATATTATGTTCAAACTACGACAACTCTGATAATGACATTTATCTTACCATTCTGTGTGTGTATGTGTGCGTGTCTGCCTGCCTGCCTGTATGCGTATGACTGCAGGTCAATCGTATGGACGCAGCACGTACGTTCCTCTCTGTCCTTCTGCTTGCCCGAGACCGTGCGGTTTCCATTGCGCAGGAAGAGCCTCTCGCACCCGTCATGGTCGGTATCCGTAACGACTAAGCTCCCAGCGACCACTCCCTGCCCGTCCCTCGTGTGGCCTCACATCTCATCGCTCCAAGGCCTGACCATGCATCTGTTGTGCTGCTGTGTTCAGTGCATGTTGCGGAGCACGTGTTTACCGGCGTGTATGCTCTAGCTGCATTCTCACCGGCTGACGACGGTCCCCCTGGGTGTTTGTGTCGTGTCTTCGGCAATGCTCCTTGAGCGTGCTCCTTCGGACTGGTCTTTGGACGAGTTGCTTTCCTGTTGTGCTGCTTGGTGTGCTTGGTGGGTTGACTCTCAGTACTGCGTTGGTAATAGTCAGATATCCGTGTTGTCAGTACTGCGTCGATGCTATTTGGATGTCGGTGTTGTCGACGCAATGAGCAGCGTACGTTGTTGCAACACTTGTCGTCTCGTTTTTGTCCCTTGGTTCGGCTCTCTCACTCTCTCCGCTCAGGTGTAATTTGAGACAGTTCATCACATGGTAGTGCCTGGGCAGGTCGTACCACTCAGTCTACGTCTATAGCTCTGTATTGTAGAAGAAATAGTAGTCTCTCAAGGTAGCGTAATATTTTTAATCCTTATCTTGGGAAGCTGGTCGCGCATGTGTGTGTATGTGTTTGGTGGTGTTGGGCCGCTTCTGCTTGATAACTTGCTTGAAGATGTGCCGTGCACCTAGCGGTGCAATTGTGTGCCCGCACCCTGCTTGCTTTGTCCTTATGTCCGAGATGACACATAATTATAGCTCATCATTGTACTCGGAGGCAGTTTTGATGCTGCGTCTCATGGTTTGTGTTGTAGACGGTGTACGTATGTGCAGTCTCCGTGTGCCTGGACATTGATACGCCGTGTTGACATTGCGCAGGTCATTCATTACCTTGATGATTTCCTTCTCTCCCCCGCATGGTATTTTCCCCGCTATAGAATGCCCCCTCGTTTTGTCAATATCTATGCATGCAGTCGTCGTCGCCTTTGTCACTACATGCAGCCATTCTGCATGTCCATCTCTCTCACTCACTCTCTCTCTCTCTCTCTCTCTCTCTCTCTCACTCACTCACTCACCCGTGCTGTCATTCTCTCTTCTTTTCACCTCACTGTTGGACATGTTATTTTTCACCTGTGCATAGCCTGAGTATCTACAAGCAGTAGTTCACCCTCTCCCTCCCGTGTCCCGTAGTCACTGCTTTTAGCACCTAGATATAAGGCGTTTTAATTCCATGCTGGGTGTCCGCATCGGAACCCGATTATCGACAGGTCTTGTCTTAGCAACTCCCCTTCTTTGCCTATGGTGTTTTAGTTCGCTCTGCGATTTTATCTGCTGCCGCCTTGTTGTCTTTGCTGCACGTGCATGTGCGTGCAAGGTCTTATGCATTTGTGTCTTTAGTTTAGGAGCTGGCGGCCGTTGTTACGTGTACAACTACTGACATGCTCGTTAGGTTCTCTGCCGTCGCAATCATCTATCTACTTACACCGCTTGCCCATGCTAGCTGATATTGCTACAATTCTTTCAGCTCTCTCCGTTATGAAGTTGCGAAGTGCAGTACTTTGAGTTTGTGAATGATATTGAGCAATTGTGTGTTTCAGTGTGAGCTTGAGTGCAGTGTGAGTGTTGGCTGAGTAGCATGCGAAAAGGGACATATAATATCCCGGTTTTGTGCATTTGATTAATTTTATCAACTGAATTGTGTAGCCAGAAGTACGAATCACGTGGAAAACCCCGAATGAAAATCCATCCACATACGGGCAAATTCTGCAATTAAATTTTATCGACATGCAGACCGGATCATGCATGCATTTCCTGCTGGCCAAGGGTTGTGCTCTCTGGACGTGGTGTAATGTTTTCCTTGCAGGGTACATCTACAGCATGCATGCATGCTTTGAACTCGAGTCAGCATGGCGCACACACACACACACACACACAGGCACGCACGTGCGTGCGTGTCTGCACAGCTGGATGAGCAGCACCTCTCACAAACGTGAACACACGAACAGAAAGAGCGACAAATATTTTCTAAAGTCACGATTGATGACCAGCATCAAAATGGTGAGAAAATCTACGGAATCAAAAATCAAGGATAAACGCGAGCAGAGCAAATGAACTGCTACGTATTAGACAATGGCCGGTGCTATGGCAGGTAAGCTTTCAAGTCAGACAACTTGTGGCCAATGACTGGGGTATAGGGTTGGATGCAGCTAAACACGGCCGCGGTGCCGCCGTGGATACGTGAAGTGACAGTGTATGCATGAGTAGCATAGCATGCAATGGACGTCCTTGTGGGTGATAGACAGTACGCAATGGACGTGCTTGTGGGTGATAGACAGTACGCAATGGACGTGCTTGTGGGTGATAGACAGGACGCAATGGACGTGCTTGCTGTTGATAGAAGACAGGTGTGTGTATGGGAGAAAAGAAGCTGCCACAAGTAAGCAAGAAAAGTCTTTCTTACAGACTCTCACACACACACACGCACGCACGCACGCACACACACACACACACACACACACACACACACACACACGGCAACACAACCAGCTAACGTGTATAACATCTGCGAATAAAGAATACGGCAGGAAAATGGCTAGCAAAGAAAACTCTTCCCAGCAAGCACTCAACGCCAATGCATCTACTGCGTCTTTACATTCATAGACAGCAGTAAACTGAGGATTATCAGAATCAAACTGAGGATTATTGTTATCCCAAACTCCTGATTATAGAACAGCCATGAATGCAGAAAACGGACGGTGGGCGTGAGCTTGGGAGAGCCCAGCCACAGTCAAACACACATGCATGCATGGCCGCCCGCCCGCACACACATACACAACCTCTCCAACTCTTTCTCTCTCTCTCTCATTCTTTCTCCCAGGCGCATACAGATGTGCACATATTAACCCTTTCAGTCTATCTTGGATGAGGATGGCACAAATAGCCAGCGCACGTTGCTCCTCATAACTTGCTTTTCTTAGCCGGTGAGCGTGGCTTAGGTGTGCGTAGCTGCAGACCGCGTTGTGCCATGTACTCCACCAGCACACCAGCCATCTTACCGTTGTCTGAACTGCCTTGTCCTGTACACACAGGCAGACAGACAGACAGACCATGTACCACACACACACACACACACACACACACACACACACACACACACACACACACACACACACACACACACACACACACACACACACTTTTCTTCTCCGTGATTTGCACAGTGGCACTCTCTCCCCCCCCCCCCCCCCCCACACACACTCTACATAGAGCCTAAGAGGTGACATAACTCGCATCTCGTTTCGGCGCAACTTGAAGTGCACTCTGCGTATATACTGCTCCTGTGTGGCTTCTATTGTTCTTCTTACCTGACGATGGCCAAGTGCCGAAACGTTGTAAAATAAGTTAAATAACGGAACTGGTTTGGATGTGCAGCGCTATGGGAATGGGCGTGTCCACCCGAATTCCTTTCAGAGATGAAGCTGCAGGAAGCATCAGCCCTTCTTCAAACAATACAAGACAGGAGAATAGAATAGAAAACACAGGCGGTGACTAATTCTCACCTGACAGCGCTCTCTTGTAAACACCTTGCACTATGGCGGCTATCCGGAAGAAGGAGAAGGCTAGGTAGAAGTTCCAGTGCGGTACCGAGTCGTGTTTAAGGCCGCGATGCTGGCAGTACCATGCAATGTACTCTTCCTCGCTGGGAATGCCCAAGGAAGAGAGATGTGCTCCTTCCAACCCTGTGCAACAGTGGTGTGTGTGTGTGCGTGCGTGAGAGAGAGTGTGTGTGTGTGTGTGTGTGAGAGAGAGAGAGAGAGAGAGAGAGAGAGAGAGAGAGAGTGAGAAAGAGAGAGAGAGAGAGAGTGCATTAGAATCTGCTAAATCAGCAGCCAAATACTCGAACACCTCTTATCCGGGCGTCTTGGGACCGGGCATTGCTCGTATCCCTAGACACCTCATCTACCATGTATCACACCAGCTGTTGATGGCGTTTATTTCTCCGTACATAGTACGTGTACAGCATTAAAAAAAACCTTTAAAATAGCCTGCACCACACACTAGTACAAACGCACGCCCGAACACACAGACAGACACACAGACAGACACACAGACAGACACACAGACATACACAGACATACACAGACACCCACCCACATACACACACAGAGCAGTACAACACTCACCTCCCAGCATAGGTATATTTGTGTCGACATGGTAAGGCATACAGTGATACGCCAGATCACTGTATGGATCACCCAGGGTGGACAGTTCCCAGTCCAATATGGCACTGACTTTGGGTGAGTCGTGCGCCAGGATTAAGTTATCTAGTCTGTGCGCACACACGCGCACGCACGCACACACACACATGCACACACACGCACGCACATGCACACACACGCACGCACACACACACGCACACACACACAAAGACGGGTTACACAACGGACAGGTATGAACCGATTACAGAAACATGGACTTCCCGCCGCCCCAGAACCCTGATCTACAGTCCATTCAGAAAAAAATGGACTTCTAGCTTTTGGCCATAAATGGGTCAAACGAGTTTTTTTAGAATTTTTTCTGCAATCCCCTATCGAATCCTCTTCCAATTATGTTTCTGAAGTTTACTTCTCCAAAAAGCAAGCCATAGCAAGAATAGGATTTCGGCCAGGTTTTGCCACAAGAGCACTGAATTGAGAAAACCCATCAAAATCCAGGCCGTTTGACCCTGCCTGCAACAGTCCATTGTACGGTTCGAATCCCAGTTCGGGTACCCTTTTTGGACCCTTTTTCAAATTTCAAATTTCAGAGCACTGCACTGTGTACGATAAAATCTTGAAAAATCCCCTAAGGCCACACGTTTTTATTTCTATGTTTCTTGTCACCTGAAAATCTAAAAACGTATGCGAGAGGTGGAAAAAAATAAAAATTACCGAAAAATAAAAAAAGTTTACTAGACCTTTGTTCACACTAAAATCCACCAATACACAATGCAAAATAGCATCCATAGTTAGCAACTAATATGTGGTAGGAGCTTCTGTCACAATCTGTGCATGTGCAGCGTAGATTGTGCACAAACAATGCCGACCTCGCATCATGTGTCGCGTAGGCCAGGCCACATTATGTACATGTGCATGAGTGTGCTGGTACATGCACTACATGGTCCCCACATGCACAGTCAGTGCAGCACAGTCAGTGCAGCACAGTTTTTTTTCTTTTTTCTTCCAGACTCCTGAATCGTATGCGCGCGGGTGACGAGAAACATAGAAATAAAAACGTGTGGCCTAATATGGGAGCTCGCCAGAGCCAGGGCCCATCTTTTTGTGAATGGACTGTAGGACATAGACTTAAGAAAATACCATTACGTGTGAACACACGCAGCACAGAAGTCACTGGAAATTTTGATGAGGCCGTTCGCAACAGTACTCTTCAAAGTCGGTTCATTGGTGATACAAGTAACAGCAGCAACAGACAAGTACTTTGATATTCATCTAGATTTCTAGGTGAAAGGCTTGCAAAGGCTTGCAAAGGCTTGCAATACCATAGAAGTTTATTATCAAAAGGTCAAGTCAGATGTCACGTTTCGACCCTTCTTTAGGAAGCAATTTTAAAGCAATTTTTTCCCAGAACCTGGCAGAATGCACACATACCCTCCGTACATACCCCTCAGTATATTGTCATACCCCTCAGTACATCCCCCCCCCCCCCCCCCAGTACCTGCCCCCTCAGTATACCCCCCCCCCCAGTACCTGCCCTCTCAGTACATTGTCATAGCCCTCAGTACATACCTGAAATCTCCATGCACGATTCTTGTTGGCACTTCGTTTGTAGGTAAGTTCTTCGGCAGCCAGTTGATCAGATGGTCCATGGCTTCTATGCTATGGGTCTCACTAGACCGGTACTGGGCTGACCAACGCTTTACCTGGCGTTCCAAATACTGACCTGTAAACAAACGGGTGCACGAGAGAGAGAGAGAGAGAGAGAGAGAGAGAGAGAGAGAGAGAGAGAGAGAGAGAGAGAGAGAGAGAGAGAGAGAGAGAGAGAGAGAGAGAGAGAGAGAGAGAGAGAGAGAGAGAGAGAGAGAGAGAGAGAGAGAGAGAGAGAAAGAGAGAGAGAGAGAGAGAGAGAGAGAGAGAGAGAGAGAGAGAGAGAGAGAGAGAGAGAGAGAGAGAGAGAGAGAGAGAGAGAGAGAGACAGAGAGACAGCCAGAGATCATCCTTCAAAGAGCAGACTCTAGTGCAGAAAGGCAAGGAATAGCACACTGGTAACATTGCTTGAGTTATATAAACGATTGATTTGTTCAAATGCTAAACTTCGTGATCCGCTAAACACCCACTCTTAGAGTGTGTAGCGCATGTGACAAGCCTACCTTCCTTGCCACAAGCCTACCTTCCTTGCCATACGATACAAGGCCGGCATCAGCCGGTATCACATTGTGAAGCCGCGCCAACGCGTCACACATCGACTTGTAGATGTCCTACAAACACCCGCACACACATGCGTACACACACAAACACATACACGCGTACACACACACATGCGCACCCACGCACGCACACACACACACACACGGAGCACATCATGTTTTCAGGAGTGGTAGCAGAGGATGCCGGCATATTAAATACCGACATTCGATCTCAGACCATCAGAGTCCAGCAGCACACAGCACATAGCACACAGCACATAGCACTCCCCCCCCCCCTCCCCCCAAACACACGTACGCAAGCACACAACATCTACACACATAAGTCACACAAAAAGGCACAAAGGACGGTTACAGAGTTCGTCGCAACTACGAGTTTCTTGAGTTGCAACGAACTCTGTAAACCTCCTCTGTACCTTTGTGTGTGCCGGCCGTAATGGCGCTCCACGTATTGTGTTGAGAGCCCTCTCTGCTAGCTAAAGGAGAATTCCCACCACATAAACGGCATACACATTCGTGTTTGCTGAGGGGGTCGTCCGTGAATATCGAACTTTTTTCACCAAACGAATTATTTTAGTTTGGACCCAACCCCTCCCTCCCTCCCCCTCAGAACGTGAAAAATGTTGACATATTACATTCAAAAGTCGCAATAACGAAATTATTTCGTTTTGTGAAGAAACTTCGATATTTGTGGACGACCCCTAAGCCTCTTACCGTTCTTTCCTTCGGTGTCATGCCCGGTAACCTGGGGTCCTTGAAAAGCCTCCCGTCGACGTGCTGCATGATGTAGAACGTTGTGCCTACAACACTGCAGACAGAAACAACATTACACAAACTATGACTACATACACACACATGCATACACTACTTGAAACTCGAATGTTGAGCCAATAATAAATGTAGAAAGGAAAAGGAAATATAGATACGAGTTGAGAGTAACTCTCCATCACTGTAACCAGATACTATATACAGTCAGAAAGTGCAACAACTAGCCACAAAACTGACAGAGTACTGAGACATTCGACGTCCTGACACCTAGCTTCAACGCATCTCCGTAGCGCTAACCGACAGCCTTCCAACTTGGAAGGTTCAAGGTTATGGAAAGACCAAAGAGGGGAAGGCAAGCGCAACGAAAATGAGCACAAGCTACAGTCCCAACGGAACAAAGAATGTCGATTGTTACTGGACTATAGGGACCTTTCGCACCACGCGTACGGATACGAAACGAATGCTGATTCGTCACCTGGGTTCGAGGATTTGTCAGAGTCGCCGCGGAGAGCTCGTTTTCACGAATGGAAGCCTCTTCATTCGTGGCACGCTCCGAATCTGTCAGGTACACAATTGTTTGCAAGGTACACATGTTTTGCCAGGTACACATTTTTCCCTTGATTCCATGATCAATGCACGTGTGCGCGAACACACCCGTACGCAAAGCTACCGGCCGTATTTGTAGTTGCCATGCACATTTGCATTACGACTTGCGAAACCTGAATTCTGTTTTCAACGAAACGATTACGAGCCGAATCAAACTTTCGTTTCGCATTCGATTCGTAGCAAATGCGAAAGGTCCCTTATGACGAGACCAGTAAGATATTTGACAAAGCGGTCTAACTACAATTCGAAGCAGCAAAGCAGCACACCACCCAACTTGGGTGGGTCATAAATATCAAAGATAAGTAAAGAAGGGGAAGCTTTGCGAAAACGAATTGTACAAGCCGAAAGCCAAACTCCTACAGTACTCCTCATGCATGACATAGCGATGGACTAGTTGACTACAAAACAAGTTGTTTCACACGACGTACGTTTCGCCGTATGGTTCGTGACGGCTCATCAGGTGTGCAATTTGAAACTCGGATGTTGAGCCAATAATAAATGTAGAAAGGAAAAGGAAATTATATAGATACGAGTTGAGAGTAACCCTCCACCACTGTAACCAGATACTATATACAGTCAGAAAGTGCAACAACTAGCCTTCTTTACTTATCTTTGATATTTACGACCCACCCAAGTTGGGTGGTGTGCTGCTTTGCTGCTTCGAATTGTAGTTAGACCGCTTTGTCAAATATCCTACCGGTCTCGTCATAGTCCAGTAACAATCGACATTCTTTGTTCCGTTGGGACTGTAGCTTGTGCTCATTTTCGTTGCGCTTGCCTTCTCCTCTTTGGTCTTTTCATAACCTTGAACCTTCCAAGTTGGAAGGCTGTCGGTTAGCGCTACGGAGATGTGTTGAAGCTAGGTGTCAGGACGTCGAATGTCTCAGTACTCTGTCAGTTTTGTGGCTAGTTGTTGCACTTTCTGACTGTATATAGTATCTGGTTACAGTGATGGAGAGTTACTCTCAACTCGTATCTATATTTCCTTTTCCTTTCTGCATACACTACTACTACTACTACTACTACTATTGACAGCAGCCAGAAGTGGCCACACCGCTCCCCGAAGGGAGGTACTGTCAGAGAGGTTAGGGGAGAGGTAGGCAGTGCTTCAAATGGCGCTCCATGTCCTGTCGCCTCCGAAACCGGCGTTCACATACACATACGCACACACACATACAGACACACACACACACACACACGGGCATACACATGGCCACACAGAAACACGTGCACACACGTCGTTCATTGTTGGCAGAAATGGGAGAATGGTTGATCAGTGAAGTGGCTGCACTGGCGGGGCATTGCACGAACTACAACAAAAGGAACAAAACGATGTCGACGATGAAGACTGCAGCAGCAGCACCACCACCACCACCAAACAACCTATCGGCCACAGGAGACCTTGAGGATAAAATGTGCCAAACAACAAAGACCCACAGATGCAGGGTTTGAGTGGAGTTGGAACTGTTCCGCTGTTTCAACTGACCTGGCATCCTCGCACATGAGCAACGGCTTTGCCACAGGCACGCCAAACTTGTACAAGGTCTCTGTTACTCTGTAAACACAAGCAAACAACAAACACACACCCACACACACAGAAAAGGAGGCTCGAGCGAATGCACGGATATTGGCCATCTCCAGCGAGAAGAGAAAGACAACTACTCGGTGCAAAAGAAGGATCCATGGGCAGGATTGGAACATGACTGTAAGTACATGGAAATATGAACGGTCTAGGCTATGCGGCTGACCTCCCTGTTCTTCGGCGACCAGCAGTACTGTAGACAAATTGCAACAATAGTGGACGGCCGTTTAGCATCACATGAGCACGCTCAGCTCATGCACAGAATGGCACCACTCCACACCAGGCATAATCAACACAACAATGGTTGGACTGACACCTGAAGAAAGGCCAGTTTTCCAAGGATGCTCCTTGTGATGCACATTACAGCTGGGGGTATGGGTACCGTGCGCTGTCCAAACACACACACACATCCACCTACTCACCGCAGATGGCGGTATTAGAGTGGTTAAGATGCACGTTATTTCTGACGTGACGCGAAAGTTCAGCTCGCGTCATTCGGCTCGTGCGTCGAAAACAACGCGAGTGACCTGCAGCTCACGTCGAAATTTGGAGTTTTACGCCAAATTTGACGTGAAATTGCGCGTCACGTCGGAAATAACGTGCATCTTAACCTCTCTATTTAATCTTTTACAGTACTGTCTGGCGCCGAAGAACGGAGCGCCGAAGAACGACAAGGCTAGGATTTCACCAAGCACAGCATACCAATGTACACACGGTGACTCAACAGTGCATAGACTGTAATACATGAAACATAAGACCGGTCTGGGCTACGAGGCTAGGAGGCTAGGAGGATGGCGAGCCCCCAGTTCTTCGGTGACCGACACTACTGTACTCACTGATACTCGCGCTCCACTGCATGAGCCGACGGCAGTAGCTTTCCAGGCTGTGATGAAACAGCAGCAGAATGGACAGAAACGCAGACACACGGGTACACAGACAGCAGGACGGACAAACACGCAGACAGACACACAGACAGCAGAGCAGACAAACACGCAGACAGACCAAAGGGTTGGCTATCATTCTGAAAAGAGACAATCATTGAAACATTAACACAATATCAGCATCAACCAAACTTGAGGACATCTCTGTTTCTCTGAATGCTCATATCGCGGCCGTCTTTGGGTGTCTGAAGCTGAAACTTCACATCTGTGTTCCCCAATCTTGTTTTGCCTCTGTTGTGCAGTCCGGCTATCTACCGTTGCATTTCATGAATCCCTTGCCTGCACCTGTGCTGGTACCATAATCGTCAAGATATCAAGATTTTACCGAGGCGGAAGTATAGACAAAGACATGGCGCAGATTGCAGAGAGGAAACTTGAGGGAAGCACACACTCTCATAGGCACACACTCACACACCTGGGTAAGCAGATGTACGGAAGAAAAACAAACAAACAGAACAAACGCCCTGTGTTGACACGTGCACAGCACGCACATACACGCACATCCACCCACACATGCACACCCACACAGACGAATGCACACACACACACGCGCACACATACCGGCTTCTTGCGGAGGACGTACTTCTTGGCGCCGACTCCGACGAAGTATGTTGGATTGCTTTGACCGTGAGAAAACTTGCGAATATTCACTGTCATGAAAATATAGAACACACGCATACACGTATACACACACACACACACACACACACACACACACACACACACACACACACACACACACAAACCAGCTCAGCACACAAGACACCGCTGTACCCGGCCGAACGGTTGATTGCAAATCCTCTAGCATACACTAACCCTGTTTGAGTGCATGATTCCGGTCAGGAGCGTCGGACACGCTACGATCACTACGGTATTGACCGCACCACTCTTTGTCCCCAGGAACCCCGTGAATCAATCAAAAGAACTGATTGGGACTCTAAATTTCGAAATTTTTCAGCGGAGCCACACCCTCCCACCAAGTAAACTGTACTTCAGATGGCTACCAGTACCACCTTAAATTACCTTCCAATGCCCCTGATACCGGTTCTCAGTATAATATACATTCTGTCCGTCGGGTTTCGCAGTTGCACAGCTCAGTAAAGACTAACACAAACTTGGGTCTGAAAACTACTAGCACAGCGGACCCAGATCATTAAAGGGACACTGCACGCCAACATTTTCTTTGACTTATCCGCCACTGATTCCAATGAGCTATGTCGCGAGTCGATCAGACGATTGGAATCATGGCAAATTCCATCGAGAAGATCTTCCATATATGGGAGTGGGGCATGATGACGTGCGAGTTGATTAGCTTAGTGCCATCACAACAGCAGAAAGGAAAACAAAATAGCTACACTGACTGTAATTCGTAAATGTGCTTTTAGTTTTAGACAGTTGTGTTTGCATACTGTCGAGATGGAGTTTGAAGCAGTGCATAATGAAGGCCAGGCCCAAGAGGAGAGCGAGTTCTCTGTGCCCACAGTGATAGGGCCATTTCGCTTCGAACCTCAAGGTCCTCTTGAGGTGACTCAGGCTGCAGCAGGGGCACACGTTGAAGATGATGGACCTGCACCAGGTGATATGGACGAAGCCCAGCGAGTGGTGGGACACACGCGATGGTGTACTTGCCCCTGCTGCAGAGTGATGTCCAGAGAGAGAGAGAGAGAGAGAGAGAGAGAGAGAGAGAGAGAGAGAGAGAGAGAGAGAGAGAGAGAGAGAGAGAGAGAGAGTCGTTTCGCTGCCGCGAAAGCGCAGCGGCGGTTGCTTTCGCTGAAGGAGAGATGTGCGTGACCAAGCATCGTGACTTTGAAGCTGAAGTACTACGTAAAGCCACTCTGGTTGTGGCCATGGTGGCATATCGTGAATTTCGCGGTCGAACGGATCCCATGAAGAACAGGTAAGACGTTACTTGTACAAGTATTAGTATGACGAGTGTTGCCTTCGGAGCTGACATCATCAATATTCACATGCCAACGACTGGATTTCTCCGTCTCTCCTTCTACCGTAACATGTTCTAGCCAGCGTTCAGCCATGCGATGACAGAGTTTCATAAGCAGCTCTTGACCAGTAGGTCAAATGAAAAGTTCAGACGGTGAGTTACTCCGTTGCATCACCCCGCCAAGCAGCTGAATGCCATCCTGCAGACGTACACCCTTCTCGCCTCCCCAACCTTTCTTCACTTGTTCCGACTGCTGTTCACGCCGGACAAATCGGCAAGGATGACTTTCTTCAATTCAGTTCTACTCCTCTAGACTCACAAGTAGTAGTCGTGTTTGTCTAGGAGAAGTTCAACGGTGACTTTATCCGCATGGCAAGTTAGAAACTGAATAGACCATCTTCAGAACTCTCAATAGACCAGCAAAGTGGAAGACAACTTTGTCCTGAATCAGACATAGCGGCAAGACTTTACCCGGGCGAACGCCATCGAGTATTTTCGTAGGTTGTCAAAGAACACAGTGGATACTGGGGACAACATGGAGTGACCATGTCCGATAGAAGACGTGGACGGTGTGACCGGCTATGGGAAAGTATCGGCAACTCACAACGGTGATATCCCGTACACACACACACACACACACGTGGACAGAGAGAGTGAGGGACGTGTGCACGTTGACTGCATGCCAATGTTTGAGTAACGATGGTCACACTACACATGGATGAAAATAGTTCTGCAAGCAATATTGCCGGGTGAAGGAGGCCCCGAGTTGAGAAACCATACTTTAAGGGAAAGCATGACACAGTGGTGATGAATCAAGCCTTGTCAAGAGCAAAACTGGCAAGAGTTTGCCACAGGCAGCAAGGCTGCCCACAGGTGCATCACCAACAGCCAGCGTGCCGTCAGCAGGTGCTGAGCAAGCACTGCACACACCCTGCAAGAGCCGGCTGCAACACAGTCGATGCCACAGTGGGAATCCTGATCGGGCTGAATGCAGCAGAGCTGCACGCGGTACTGGAGGAACGCAGCGGCCAAGCAGAGAGCGAACTGATTGCCCGGTGCACACCGCTCGGCGGGGTGTGTTTCGGCCCCTTGGGGAACAACAGCACTACACTACAGCAGACCTGCAACACACTGTGCGCTGACGCCGGCATACACATGGGAAGTATTTCAAAGTAGTAAGTTGACTGTGCTAGTACATGTAAAGACACAGAAAGTGGAGAAAAGTGGAGAAAGTGGAGAAAAGTGGAAACGCCTCTACAGCTAGTATTCCCACTGCTAACGTAAAGTACCGCCAGAGCGCCCCGTCTCGTCAGAGCACTCCACCTTGATTTTACAGCCAGAGAAAGGAAAATCGTATGGCAGAGTGCAACGAAGTGTGTACGGTGTGAGAACCTTAGTGTACTATTAAAGGTCACACGTCGCAGGCTTTTGTGTGAAGCGCGTGTCCGCTCAAAGGTACAGATTGATTGCAGGATGTGCAATAATATATGTGTACAAAGTTCGTGTCATACGACCTACAGACAGGAGATCACCTCCACAATACGACCACGAAAGGACGAGATGGTGGGGGCGCTCTGGCGGTACTTTACGCTAGTTGACAACATTACTAATACACTCATATTAATTTTCTCTTAACCGGATCTCGAAGTTACTGGCACCTCGGTACACCGGGAGAGAGTTTTAGTGGAAGTATTCCTACTCGTTTGCCATTGTTTGGTGGAAATAGTGACGTCATACGTCAGATGTCTGGCACGTCCCCATCAAAATGTATGCGATTCGCAGTTACAAATGAGAGTCCTCCGGCCCGGTAGAGCGCTCAATATTCGTTCCGAACGGTTCGAATAGAGCTATCTTACACGGTGATTCGGAGTTACGGATATTTCCAAGCGATGGCCATTGCCTGGTCCCAGACCGCCCGGATAAGCAGGATATGAGTGTACTCGCATTAGACCGATACAGTATAACCTGTGACTAACGACCACCCCCTGGTGCCAGAGAAAGCGGTCTTTAGTGGGCAGGTGGCCCTTTGTTGGAGGTTTGCACCGCACAACCAAAATATGTGAATGTGAGAACGTCCGTGCCTGTCGAAGTGGTCTGTAGTAGCAGGCTGGTCGCTAGTCACGGTGGTCTTTAGTTACAGGTTTTACTGTAGTAGCAGGCTGGTCGCTAGTCACGGTGGTCTGTAGTAGCAGGCTGGTCGCTAGTCACGGTGGTCTGTAGTAGCAGGCTGGTCGCTAGTCACGGTGGTCTTTAGTCACAGGTTTTTACTGTAATTGATAACAAAGGTGTTAGCTCCCCACACCGGAGCTCGCAATCCCACTATCTCGTAATAATATTGATAATAGTATGTGTAGTACCATGAAACAGAGTCACACTATAACGTACAGGGCATGCGCTGTGATATGGGCAGCGATTTCCGCAGTAGATCCGTCAATGCCTCAGTGGGCAGGGCGTGCTTTCCACGTGCTGCCTTTGTGCCGGCCACATAACCTGAAGTATAGCGGGGAATAGAGGATAGTGTACACACACGCATACGCACGCACACACATGTACACACACACGCACACACACACACACACATGCACGGATTTTCACACACAATGCAACCAAACAGACAGACAGACAGGCAGGGAGACAGACAGACAGACAATCATATAGACAGGCAGAGAGAGCGAGAGAGACACACACACACACACATGTTCCAACAGAATGACCTAGTATCAAAATTTGTACTTCGAAGTACAACAACATCAATGTTTGAGTGTCAGCGTTTACCATGCCTAATAAATGTGTGCACCCAAAAGTCCACGTTGGGTTGCCCTGTCCAAACATGGCAACCCACACCACAACAGTGTGCAGCCACCGCTGCCGGCGCCTGCCTGCCAAGAGGGGAATCCCCTCAAATCGCCATGATGCCAGAGGCTATCCCTACCCAAGAGGGGAGTCCCCTCGCATCACCATGATGCCAGGGACTATCCCTACCCAAAGGGAAATTCCCCTCAAATAGCCACGAAGCAAGGGACTACCATACTCGCGCGATCAGTGCTCCTCGGGCGCTATTCTTTCAAAGTTCGTCACAGAAGGGGCACTATTCAAGAGAGGGTACTATTTTTTCAATGCTGGTATGCTTAAGTCATTCACTATAAAAATAAGAAAAACAGAGTCTAAAGTTTACTACAAACTATCATGACTCAACAGAAACTACAAGAAGAACTGCGGTATATTTTGTCATTAGGGAGGTTTCGCTCTACGTAATTACGTACTTGCAAGTATGAAAATCCGTATGTCGTACACGCCGGGGAGCGAGGGCAACTTTCATACGTAAATCTCTCTACGGATTTCCGTAGGAAAGCTCTTTCCTACGTTGGGTCCTCCGTAGGACTTTTTGAAATATTTTTCGCATTTTCCGCATTTGTCCATGGCAACATTCAAGCCGCGCGAAACACAAGGTACACACACCGTACACCACGTGCAAAATAAAAATGGAAACGCGGCTTCGGTTCATGGTGCATGCGGTGGGTGCATGCAGCCAACGCGTCTCCAAAGCAACAACGCATGTTTAGCAGTCGTGGAGAAATCACGTAGAGCGAAACCCAACAGCTCTGATTTTTACGTATGAAAATTCCGTGCAGTTCATACGTTATTTTCATACGTAATTCCGTAGAGCGAAACCTCCCTATTGGCTCTCCGAGATGGGTGCACTATTCAAGAGAGGGCTTTAATCGAGCGAGTACGTTATACTTATATATCCCCCCCCCCCCCCCCCCCCCGTCTCTCTCTCGTTGTTGCTATTACAGAGCTCTCACACACACGTTACTGATCACCAGACACCAGCACAAGAAACTGACCACACATGTACAGTGGGAGAACGTGAGTAACTTAGGCATACTACACTCCATTCATCGGAAACAGTCCCGCTGGTTTTTGAAAGTCCGATTTGGGCCGAATTGAGGATCAAAAACCCAATTTAAATTTCAAAAAACTGGGTTTGGGATCTGCTTCTCCACACATTTTGCCATGGCATACCTGTCCTAATTTTGTAAAACCTGGCTGAATTTCTATTTCCCTGTTCTTGGACTTTTCTGGCCTCAAATGTGACAAGGACTAATTGCACGGGTCACACAATGCAGGATGCACTGTTGTTTTCATGATATCTACAACTATGTGCGGGAGACACCAAAAAGTATGGCTGAAAGGAATATTCGAATTGTTCGAATATTCGAAATGTGCAGATCGGAAAAAGAATATTCTTCGTTAGAGTAGAATAAGAATGTTCGTAAATGTGCAGAAACTCGCCTTTTTGATATCGAACAGGTTTATTTGGTGCAGAAAGTTGGTGAGGTTGCCACCTTCCAAGTGTTGTCATCAGCAAGACAAATGATAACATTGTCCTTTTCAAATGTCCCTCCTGTAATTGGGGTACACACTAGTTGATGGTATATGGTTACCATGGATACAACTAGGTATCCATGGATATTGTATGGTTTAGAATATTCGGAATATTCTTCGTTTCACATGTATTCGGAAAGAGAATATTCGTTCGCTTCATTGAGCATTCGTTTCAGCCCTAGAGTTAGGGTGCCAGTTTCCAATGACTGGGCTGTAGTAATGCAGAAGCACAATGTTACATACCACTCAGAGGGAAACCCACAATGGCCTCCAGCTGTTGAAGAGCAGCTTGGACACGAGTTGACGGTACCTGGATACGCACAATGCGAGAATATGTGCACACGTCACCCGCACGCGTGCGTGCAGACACACACACACACACAAGCACGCACGCACGGGCACACACACATACACACACACATACACACACGAACACACACATACACACACACACACATGTACACCATGGGGGGGGGGTCTCATTGGGAGTCACCGTCAAAGATTCCTCAGAGCTCAATTCACTAAGAACTGACAGCACAATCGAAATCACAGTGGGGTTTTTTTCCCTGGAGGAAGTAACTTACAATCAGTCAATATACAGGTGATTCATGATTCGAATCGCACTAAAGACACCATTATCGGCGGAGCTGAGGAGTGAGGTTTCATAATAGTGTAAGTAGCTGCGTTGGAGTTTGCGGACAATTAAGTTTTACAGGTGACTCCTGATAATTATAAGTTAACCAATACCATTGTGCAGAAGGATTAGGTCTTTACAGCCGAAATTCTTTATAACCGAAATGCACTCACACCAAAACAACAACACGTCATGCCTGACATGTGGCCCATGACAGTGGCCCATGACAGCATGAGTGCACTAACTGCACTTGGCTTACATGCGACCCTTCAAGATATGGTTCGCTGTACACGAAAAACTGTGGGCTATAACAGGTCAACTCAAACGGGGGCATGGACATTATTGGTTCGTTATATCACAAAATCCGCTAAATGCGAGTTTGTTGTAAAGTGCGATTGACTGTAGTGAGTTCTCTTACCCTGATTGAGTGGATGCCCAACTGAGCGGCAGCCTTGCAGTTGCTACCGATGTCATCCAGGAACACCACTTCGGAGGGTTCCAGTCCCAGTTTGCCCAGCACAAGCTTGTAGGCCTGTGGGTCTGGCTTGCGCACGCCCTCCTTGCACGATTCAACCACCTTGTTGGAGAAGTAAGGAATGGAGAGAGAGAGAGAGAGAGAGAGAGAGAGAGAGAGAGAGAGAGAGAGAGAAGAGAGAGAGAGAGAGAGAGAGAGAGAGGAACAAGCACGCATGCACACACACACGTGCGCGCAGATATACACACAGCATTATTACACACGCAAAGCTTTGAGCGGGCCAGATATCAGCCTATTCCATTGGGGTACAGCTACCGTACCACCTTGCATATACCACCGTACCACCTTGCATAATATCACCGTACCACCTTGCATATATCACCGTACCACCTTGCATATACAGGGTTCTCACAAGTCAAGGTAAACATCTATTGCACCATCTTCAGACCCTAGGCCCTAGCTGGTAGGTTGCAAGCCATCTACACATTTACACATACACACACACGCTCGCATGCATGCACACACACACACGTACACACACGTGCGCACACACACACACAGAGCTGTGACATTAACATTTTTGAATCCAAACACTCACCACGTCAAAGAGCGCGGGGTCGAAGGGCAACACGGTTTCTCCACCGCTAGTCTTGAAGTTGTTCGTCAAGACAGCCGTGCGGATCCCCTCGGCACGTAGGCACTTGACAGCATCCAAAACGGCCGGCAAAACGCCAGAGGACATGGACTCGTTGATGGTACGCAGGAAACAGAAGCCATCCAGCCTCACGTCCTTGGAGCCATACTTGGCAAAGTCGCGGGCAAACGCGTCGCTAAACTCCTTATCGTTCGTGCTCAACTCGCCGCGCTCCAGGCGTGCGAACGCACCGTCTTTGCCGCTGATTGAGATGGCACGTCCGATGGAGCCGGGCGGAATTCCCATCTTCAATTCCAGCTCCTGGAGGGCGGGGAACGGAGATGGCAGCAGCACTCCGCCCAAGTCGAATATCACAGCACGCAGCTGCTCTGGCGATGGGGGAGGTGGTGGCTCTGCACCATCACCAGCAGCAGGAATCTTAGCAACAGTTGTACCGTCACCATGACCACTGGCAGCAGCACCGGTTGCAGCACGAGAAGCAGCAGCAGCTGTGCCAGAGCTACTGGTAGCAGCAGCAGCAGCAACAGCAGCAACATCAGCAGCAGCAGTAGCAGCAGCAGCAGCAGCAGCAGCAGTAGCAGCAGCAGCAGCAGTGGACTTGCTTGCAGCACCAGTAGACTTGCTTGCAGCACCAGTAGACTTGCTTGCAGCACCAGTAGACTTGCTTGCAGCACTAGCAGATTTGCTTGCAGCACTAGCAGATTTGCTTGCAGTACCAGTAGACTTGCTTGCAGCACCAGTAGACTTGCTTGCAGCACTAGCAGATTTGCTTGCAGCTCCGGTAGACTTGCTTGCAGCAGAGCTGCTGGGCGAGGAATTAGCAGCAGACTGATCTGCTGCTGCTGCTGCTGCAGCTTTCTTACTGCTTGCTTTCTTGGACGCCGGACGCATTGCTTGTACTGTCAGGCGTACAGCTGGTACTGCTGAAGCTTTGCTGTTCGAAGCAGCGATCAACGGTCGACTACAGCTCATTCTGGACGAGATGATCGTCGACAAGCGAAGCATCCTTCGCGTTCAGGAGCAAATCGATATTGCAGAGAATTCACAAACTTTTTCTTACTGCACGTATTTCATCCGCAGTACACTGGTACATGCATGCACGTAGATCTACGTCGACGTCGCAAGGCCAGGTGCAACTGGAATATAAAAATCAGCCACCTACTACTAGTAGTACTGTCTGAACTGAAGCAGGGTTGCGGCTTCCAGACTGACCAGAGTGCTGAAGAAGTGCTAGACGTCGTAGTGCATGTAGTGGCCCAGCTGGCTGTCAACGGACTCAAACAGCAAATCTGCCGAATAAATAATTATTTGTGCGACGATGCCCGAGGCGGGATGCTTTTTCAGACTTGTCAAACTGATACAGACAGAATGAAATGGAAGGCTGACAACAGTATGAAATGGAAGGCTGACAACAGTATGCTTATTGGATCAGTAGTCTTCAACAACAATACTCAGTTTGGAACTTTATTTTGAAGCTCAATGCAACCAAAAATTTGATGGCCGAATGCAAAGGAAACAAAACTGAAAACACCATTAATTTTTCACTTTTCATCAGGGAGTAGTACAATACCGGGAGGTGACACGGGCACACATCCGGGATTACGAGCTTTGCCTCACAAAAAAAATACAAACCGCGCGAAAATTCAAATTTTTGCTCTTTTGACAGCGCTGAGAAACCTTCAAATAGTGACGAGAAGACCAGACGTATCCCTTCGTGACAAGCTGCCACTTGTTCTTTTCAGCTCGAGCCTTTTTTGGGAGCTACTCTGGTACATCGTCCACACTGCTGCCAAGTCTCGACTTCCCAAAATGGATGGAAGTGACGAATATGGAGGACGCTATCCGAGGTAAGTAACGTGATGGAATTTTCTCATCTTGACATGGTGTAACACGAACCTGAATTTCTCATTTGGACCCACTCGGACACCTCACCAAGTTGGGATATTTCGAAAGTATACCTATTTGTCTACCATTCTACTTCATCTCAACGTGTTAGCTTATGTAACTCTTTGGAAAACTCATTCTGAAAATTTTGAAACTTATTTATTTGTATAGACTTGAACATAATGTTCAAGATCACTTGTTTTCAGCACTGAATGAGGCCAGGCCTGCTTGCTTTGTTGCTTTTTTAACCCCCAGAACCCGTGGACAGAAGAGGAAGAGCGACGACTTGGGTGCGGCTGCGAAGTCTGCCTGCCCAACGCCAATTGCTCCTCCGTGACCCAAAAAGTAAACAAATTATATAGCAGGAGTGGTGCCGCTTGAAAGATGAGTCAGCAGTATCATCATCATCACTGTTGCTGCTATCTGCAGCAGCATGCTCGTCTCCGTGCTTAACATTGCCCGTCACCATCAGATCTGTCCCGAACTTCGGAATTATCCGGAGCAGATCTTCAGGCTCGTTGCTTCTGACAAGTTTTCTGCGCACTGCAACTATGCACCACCCCCCGTGGTACTTCACAACCGAGTTAGCCGCTTGATCCATGGTGCGGCGAGCAACCTCCATGTGCATAGGGTTGCTCGGAGCTGTGGCTGCTGACGCAGGCTTCCTATTCATAGTGAAATCAAGAAGAAGCTGAAGGGCAAATAGTGCACCGGACACTCTGACACCTGTACAAAACAGCAATCCACGCACACACACACACACACACACACACACACACAAACACGCATTGTCTATGAAAAAAAAACACTTCAAAGTACAATTTGGTACAATAAATCTCTACAGCGCAATAGGAACAGAAAATGACCAGTATGACGATGACATTACCTGTACTTGCAAACTGGTGTCTAGCTCTTGGAAAATGGTTGACGAATTGCGAAGTAAATCAGTCCACACATTTGAGACATTCGTGCACTCTCCTCTCCTTAATTTTCCTAAGGCCTTGTTCTTGAAAAACAACGTCTGCTGCTGCTCACAATTTATTATTGCCTGCCGAAAGTGAACTATGAACAGCTCCACATTTGCAGGGTGCTTGTCCAGTGAGCAGAGTTGCTGAGCTACTGCCACCTCATGTTGGCAGTAGCGTTGCATGTCCGAGTCCTTGCACAGATCTGGTGAGATGTAACCCAAAGAGAAATGAGAATGTGAATGACTGAAAGTCAACAAACTATACTCTGTTGAAGACCACTCTTACCTGCTGCCCATGTCAAAATACTGGACACACTGAAGGTATCCGGCTGAGGTACAATGGCTACTTGGCATACCTCGTCTGATTCCTCCTCGTCACTAGGAAAAACTAAAACATTTCTTGTCTCCATTGCACAGACAAACTTCTTGGACAGGTTCTGGAAAACAAGAATGATTATGGTGATGTTGTGGCACCAAAACCTTTTGTCACTGGCAAATATACACCCACACACCTACACACACGCGCGCGCACGTGCGCATACATACAACTATTCGTCTTTATCCTTTTGTGTTTGACATGATTTCACGGTGCCATGAAAGTAACATTGGTGCCATAAAAGTAACATTGGTTATAATCAAGGAGTAATGGTATTGTACGATTCTGATTGCGTATGCTCTTGGTGGCCATATATATCAGGAAGTAGTACAATACCGGTATTGTACTACTCCCTGATATATACTATAGTTCATCGTCACGCAGCTCCCCACAAAGTACAAATTGTAGTAAAAGCAATTACGTACTAATACGTATAGTAATATGCAGACACATACAACTAGTAGTCACACAAAGTATCTATAATAAGCACACATACTAGGAATAGTACGTAAGCAGGCTATCTTTATCCTTTTACGCTTGGTCTGATTACCTGCATACACGACTTACACGGCACGGTCTTCCACGGCATGGTCACTTGCACCAGTAACATTGTACATAATTCCACACTGCCTTTATCATCAACACCAGTTCCTGTTAACGCGTAACATCTCAGGCTTTGTAGCAGGGAGTAGCACAGTGCCATTGTACCATTGTGCTACTCCCTGCTTGACACAGACTTGCGTCATAGTGACATTTGCGAATAGCTGCCCCTGCAGTATAAAATTTATGTTATTTTGTGTTTCTCTCTGACGACTATAGCACCTGGATTCGAAATAGCCTTACTATCTTGAGACGGGTCAGCCATACCTGAAACATGTTGTTCATTGTGACTAAAATTTGAGTCAACATTATCTATTCCCCTAGAAACGACGTGAATAACTAAATGTAATACAACTAAATGTAATACAAATTAAATTAGGAAGAAAATTTCACTCTTACAAGCCGCCCACGTAAATACTGGACACACTGAAGGTACCCGTGCGAAGGCCAGCTGCTACTTGATATCCTTCGTAGGATTCATCCTCATCACTCAGCAAAGACTGATGGATTCGTTCCCTACATCGTCAAAACAAACTTCAAAAAGTACTGCTCGAAAACTTCTTGACAGCATTCTGCCACTCTCTTCAAGTCGTTCTATGAATTTTTTTGAAAAATGCTACGAAATGCTGCGATAAATGGTACGCGAAGTACGATATTTCGTGACGTTTCCCGGGACACAGCGCGCGAAGTACGATATTTCGTGACGTTTCCCGGGACACAGCGCTCCACAGAAAAGTGACCTGAGGCAAAGCTCGCCCGCCTGAATGTGTGGCCGTGTCACCTCCCGGTATTGTACTACTCCCTGCTTTTCATAGATGCCGGTATCGATATTTTTTTATGTTGTTGGATACCGCGATTTTTCCACGACCCACGTGCTCGCCCAGCTACACGTACGTGAAGCGCGTAGCGTCCTGTACGTCTCCATAGCATCAAGCCGGGTAGGGCACCCTGTACGCGGTACCCGGGATCCCGGGAGTCGGCCAAGCTCGCCACCAGGGAGTCGTAAAATACCGGTATTTTACGACTCCCTGCCCGCAATCTTTTTTTTTGAAAGGTGTTTGATCCGGTCGAGAAATACCTCAAACTTTGCATGATCTGAAATGTAGTCTTTGGCACCTATGATCAGGGGATGGCCCACGCCTGGTAAAAAAACAAAAAAACAAAAAAAAACAATGAGAAGTTGCGTACATCGTGTACAGACTAAACAGACTTTGGATTCGAACATAACAGAGTGGAAAACCGGAATCCGAGAAAACGATAACATGCAAAATCATGAAAAAGTGGGGGGGGGGGGGTACTGAAGCAGAACAGTAGCCAAACACACCACGGATAGTTACCGAAAGCACTCTGCAGCAGCAAGGACCACAGAAGCATCAGAGTCAATGACTCTCTGGCGGGCATCTTGAGACCGTGGCCTGCGGTGACCACGGAGGCTGGCATTGGAGGCACGAACAAGAGAAAAGGAAACCCTTGACCTAATAAAGGCAAGAAGTGAGGAGAAGGGCTCCTTTCTCTTGTCGGCGAGCATAGAGGCGACACGCTTGAAAAAAGCGGAGGCGGACTTGCCGTAGCCGCCGGAAGCGCTGAACACAATGGGAGAAAAAGACGCGTGTTCAACTTCCCGGACGCGTTCTTCGTACGCGCGCCTTTTCTCGGCCTCATGCTTCCGGTAGGTGGCTGTGATGGACTGTTGGCGGTTGGAGCGGGCGTGCGGGTTGAATACCCGGATGTCCAGTAGTGCCCGTTCGAAACGTCCACCCCAGACACCCGATGCGGCCACATCCAGGCGGGCACCATCCTCGGAGATGGCGGAGCGGTGACGGAAGGTCTCACCGGTTAGCGGCTGGAGATGTGGCTCGACCTGGACATCATGGGCCACTTCACGCAGGAGAGATGCGGTGAGATCCCGAAGGTCATTATGCCGCATGGCGGGGTAGCCACCAGTTGGGCAAGACAGCGCGTGTTCCGGTGAAAACGCTTTGCCGCACACACATTCTGTTGGCAGGCCTGGAGGGGTCCAACCATACCGTAGGCAGAGAGCGTCCCAGAACGCCTGCTTGTGTAGGTTGAAACCATACTGACGAAGGGGCCGACAGGTCAACCAGCTGGAGGCGCCCTTTTCAGCAGCAAGATTCAGGGTGCGCTCTGTGGTGCTGGTGGAGGTGGCAATGACCGAGGCAACCACTTCCTTCGCCAGGCGCCGGGACTGGGAAACAATCTCTGCCTTCGCTGTGATGGTGGCAGCTGGGACGCCTTCTGCTGACTGATCTTGCTGGAGGATCTTCTGCACGAGAGACTTGGTAATATGCATAGAGTCCTGGAACTGGGAGGCAAGGGAGGACGGGTTGACAATCCCCAGCCCTCCGTCCCTGCACGGTAGGGCCAGCATGGCACGCTCGATGTCTCCTGGCGGGACGCGGTTGATGATGGCAGGGATGAATTTGGTACGGATTCTTTCCTCCAAAGGTGCGAGCAGGTCGGCCGTATTTGGCACTGTCCGGGCGACAAAGGACCACTGATGGCGAACTCCCTGGCCGAAGGCAGCAAATGCCGCTTGTGGTTGGGTGCGGGCGAACTCAGCCAGAACATCCACTTCGCGACACCACTCATCCACCTTGCCTGACACATATGCCGAACAGAATGTTGGTGATCCGAGGACGGCACCTAGGTGGCGACACCCATCCGACCGGATGTCTATGCTGGAGTCCTGGAAGATTTCCCTGGCTCGATCTAAGCACTCGGGCTTCACCAAAAGTATCGACTTTTTGGCGTTGATGTAGTATCCATAGGATGGACCTTCTTCTTCCAGGATGGACCACCACTTATGAAGCCTGGTGAGGGTGCTTGCTGCTGTGGAATCATCTGCGAACCACGCTTGTACGGCTTTGCTAGAGGCAGCACGACGGATGAGAGGCACGGTGCCCAACGCATACATTGCCATTGCGAGCGGATCGCCTTGTGTAGTTCCTTCACAGGAGAGAATGGTCTCGCCACCGACGAACAGCCGGGATGGGGACCGGTACGTATTGACGATGGTGGTGGAGAATTCTGGGCACAGATGCTGGATGTTGCGAATGCATACGTTGCGGTTGATACGATTGAACGCATTTGATGCATCGGCTAGGAGCACGGCCTCAGTGTCGTCTTGCGCGAATGCAGATCGCATAGCGTGGATGGCTGCTTCGATGCCACTCTGTTGACCTGCACACAGTTGGAGGCACCCTGTGGCTTGCTGAATTGCTGGGCCTACTACCATCAATATGGCCTTGCCGATAACACGTCGGACGACCTCACCAATTCCGATGGGCCGAACTCCGGGTTGCTTGTCTAACGGGATCAGCCTGCAGGCGGTATAGGCCTCAAGGGAGGAAGGGTCGATGGCAGTGGTCGCTATGCGACGGGCACACAGGGCGAGCGCATCGCAGAGAGCATCAGAGGCACTATGGAAGGACGAACAGATTCTTCGCCAGCCATTGGCGTCCATGCCTGAGGGTCCGGCCGCACCGTTGGTATTGAGGACTGATTTCATGATGGCCTCTCTCGTGATGGCTGAGAACATGATGGCATGTGGTTGTTCGGGAGGTATTCCCGGTATAAGCACTGCCTCATGGAGTGGCTCACCCGGAGGGTGCTTGGAGATGAGGACCTCTCGGACTGATTGACCGTCAATGATGTCGTTCAGGGAGTGCGAGCCCGTGGATGATTCTTGGGAGAGCATTCGAACCGCTGCTCCGGTCTTCCCTGCAGTGATCAGTGATGCGAAGTTGCGTGCGTCATTCCCCTGACTAGCTGGGGTGGGACGGGTGGAGGATTTACCGGCGTCGAGTTGCTCCTGAATTGTTCGGGCTTCCCGTATTAGCTCGTCCACGTTTCCGGCATTCCACAGTGGCAATCGGCGGTTGAGACAGTCCAGGTGTTCTTGCCGGCTGTTGGCTCCGTATGGCTTCTGCAAGATTAGTTGTGTGGCTGTCATGGCTCCCTTGATGGCATAGCCTTCACCTGCACCCTCTTGCCCGAAGCGCCTGAAAAGTTGGGCTAACAGTAACACAAACTGCGCCCCGACGGCTCCGGAGGGCACGAGAAACAGGTTTGGGCGGAAATGCACTACCTCTTCATATGCGGCGGAGAGTACTTGCTGGGTGTCCGCTACGGAAAGGTTCCCCAATTTCAGGTCACAGTTTGCAGGTGTGTACTGTGGGAGTTCATGGGCCCTAGTGTTAGTGTCTGGAGTGGCTCCACTGGTGTTGTTTGAGTGCCCTACATCGCTCTCATCCAGGGTGGCTAGCAACTCGGCATCCAGGGTTTGACTGGACATTACAGTGGGGTGAGCAGCCTGTGTGCTGTGTGTGGCCTCAGTCACCTCAGTGAGTAAGCGTTGGGCACGAGCTGCATTGCTCAGGAGACATGTAGGCTGCGCAGCTGCTGGGGAACACTGGGTGTGTTGTGTGTTGCATGATTGGATCTCTGTACTCTGGGGCGTTGGTGATGGACGCTCGGGGATTGAATCGGTCTGGCTGTCCTCATTTGCTGACCCGTGCAGATGACGATCGAGCAGGTCCCATGCATGTTGTTGGGTGTTCGAAACTACGGTAGATGTACGGCTCGTAGCTTGGTCTTCCGAACGATCAAGCAGGTCCCATGCATGTTGCTGGGAGTTCGAAACTACGGTACTCGTACTACGACTCGTTCCTGCATCTGCTGTCTGGTGGGCAGTCGCGGGGACAGGCCCAGGTGATCTGGGAACGTGACGTGCCGTTTGAACTCCTACGAGTACGGGGCTGCGAAAGGCGGGCGGTGGCGACGCGGGAGACGCGGCTGGAGAAGGATTGTTTCGGCAGCGGTTTTTCTGGGCAGGGCAGCAATTCCGGCATTTACGTCCACTCTTCACACAGACACAGCCAACACAGGAGCCATTGCCATTGCACCGGCAACACTGAGGGCCTCCCTGCATGGCGTGTGCTGTCCAAGCTGATGCTTGAGGTGCGCAGCACGAGAATCTGGCCCAGAACTCAGTACAAATCCGACAGCTCCACAATCCGAGACCGTTCAAAAAAAGGCACGTCGCCAAAGTGCTGCCCGCAATCTCGGCATCTGTCTACCTGCACCTGGCGGAGATCGACCGCGCGACCGTAACTCAGTAACTGTATCAGTGTATGAGTCTGAATGATAAACCATTCGATCGGATCCAGCTACCCTAACGCCCCCCCCCCCCCAACCGGTGACCTGTCAATGCCACAATCATGATAATCATAAAAGCTGTTGTTGATATTTTTTTGTATCGCAGACAAAATTGTCCGCAACGCTGGTCAAACGATCCCACATAATCATTCTACAGGCAGTAGCAGTAGTATAGTTGCACCTCTAACTTCTAAGAACAATACTTTTTCAATTTGTTGAGTCCGTAGCGGTTCTTGGTTCTGATCGCACTGCGAGTGTTTGCCTCACAAGACTATTGGAGGACTCCTGGGCCAGGGGTGAGTTGACGAGTGGAGTGATCGGCCAGTTGAGCGTGAGTTCGTTAGCTGGCTTCCTAGATCCTAAGTCCTATCGCCAGGGCCCAGTACTAGCAGTAGGGACTGGGCAGTGCCGGGTAGCATGGAACCGGCAGCGAAGCGAACCCAATCCTATGCTGATGACGGTGATGGTGTCGGTGAGCGGGCATCACCGGTGCCGGTAGTTCCCACTGAGCCACCTGAGTCCTGTGTGTTCACGGTCGACCCATCCTGCGACGGCCTGAGTAGCGCTGCGCTCGCGCATTACCAGCGTTACGGATTCGTCGTGCTGCGTCAGCTGATTGGCGGCGACGAGGCGGACGAAGTGCGTGAGGAGGTAAGGAGGAGGCGGAGCTAGGGGGAGGGCGGATAGTCCCCGGTTTTAGAGAGTGTCCAGAATGACCTAACTACGACTATAACCAAGAGTACATAACCCCCCAGAGTGTGCAACGCCTGATCCAGCTCTGCATAGGGTCTTTGATCGAGCGTAATCGGATTTTTGGGTCATAATACTGTACACATTTGAGGGGAACCCGGGGAGTCGCGGGGACTCTCGGATCAAAACAACGGGGCCCTGCCTCGAGACCGGCCTTGCGCTAGCGTGGAGTGTACGCGTGCCATCAGAAGATCCGACTACGCTCGACCAAGACCCTATGCAGAGCTGTACCAGGCAATCCACACTCTGGGGGGGGGGGGGGGTGGGGGGGGGGGTTGTATTGTACTCTTGCTATAACTGGTCTCACATTGCCAGTGACCGTCCCATACAGTCGTGTTACAGTGTGGGGTGGTCTATCGGTCATGATGGGCCATTCTTGATTGAAACATTTCTTACTCACAGCAGAGAAATGGTGGTAAACAGTAACAAAACATTTTTTAAACACACATGCACACACATGCACTGCGGCACGCGCACACACACACACACATACACACACATCGTGACACCGTGCAAAATGAATACCTGCCTGTCCACACAGCGCCGCTCTCTGAGCTGCAAAGGGCTGGCAGTGCTCCTTGTCCCACACTCACCTGACTACAGTCATCAGTTTGCACCTGGTGCCTGGCCGTAAAACCATTGCGCACACATGTTGTTTGTCTGTGCACATGAATTTGAAGATACCGTACTCGGGGAGAGTTGTGGGGTGCTCGTCACAGTGCTCCACGTACCTAAGAGCAGAGCCCAATGCATGTACCGTATTTCCTCGATTATAAGTCGCACTCGATTATAAGTCGCACTGCCATCTTCAGGTTTGAGCAATATTGGCTTGATATTATATTGATTTCAGTAGTATGTCACACTCGATTGTAAGTCACACCCCCATTTTTACCCTTGGATTTTAATGTAAAAAGGTGCGACTTATATTCGGGAATATACGGTACTGTCAGCCTACACAAGAGAGATTGGAAGCTGTGTCGCAACTCCGAGTCTCACGCACTACTACGATCATCAGGCGGCATGGCTGATTGCTCCAAAACGGGCAGCCTGAACACATACATACTTACTGTAAGTCTACAAATTTTTTCATTCACTTTTTGAATTTCGCGGCCTCCCAGGGCTAAAACACATTTCGGCCGCATTAAATGTTCGGCCTGTGTTGCTGCTGTCTGTGTATACACCGTCACACTGAACCTTCCAAAACAAAATTACGGCCGCAACAGAATTTTGGCCAAAAACGCCCCGGCTGAAAATTGCCGAAAATAAATATGCGCCGAATGTTTGTTTTAAAGCTTACAGTAGGTGCAGAGCCCAATACAGTCGTCCCTCTCTAATCCGGCACTTTATAATCCAGCACCCTCGATAAACCAGCACAATTTTCAGTAGCCAAAATGTCCTCTTCATGCACATTGCAGCAGTAAATCAGATTTGTTAATCCAGCACCCTCCCTAATCCAGCAGATTTTCGTGGCACAAATGGTGCCGGATTATAGAGGGACCACTGTACATGTACGAAGTACCGTATTTCCCCGATTATAAGTCGCACCTTTTTACATTAAAATTCAAGGGTAAAAAAGGGGGTGCGACTTACAATCGACCATGACTTACTACTGAAGTGAATATCAAAACAATAATGGCTCCAGCCTGAAAATGGGGGCGCGACTTATAATCGGGGAAATATGGTACATGTGCACACAAATTTTAAAAGAAGGAAACACAGCGTTTCTAAGGTAACTCCGCATGTCAGGGTTTTACCGACCATCAGACAGCAAACTGAGTTTGTGGGTGCGAACATAGTGACAGTCATATGTATGTCTGCATGTATATCGTGGACATGCGTATGTTTGTGTGTACATGCATTTGACCATAACGTGAACACACACGTAGATGCACCGTATCATTA